GAATTATTTTTGCATTCATCCCTCATAAGCCCAGTGCATACATTCCCATTTGTCTCCTATTAATCCTTATTGTGTAAATGACTGTTCTTGAGATTGTGATTTGTATACCTTTTCCCAAGGGGCAATCATAAGTTAGTGCTAAACAGATCCTGTTGTTAGATAGTGACCTTCATGCAGTGGTCCTAGCTCCTGTGATACGAAGGTACCAATTAAGCTATGAGTAATGGAACTGTAGAAGACAGTTGAAGCACTACTATAATAAAGTTATAGATGGAACTGAACTGTACCACCTGAATGGGAGGCCCTTGTAGGAGTTTTATTTTCTATTTTATATGCTCCTAGAATAGATATATTTGAGCTCTCATGCATATGATTCTGAGCTAATCTTAGCCAGATAGGATTATATTTTGGGAACACCCAGCAGCTTATCCCCTAATTCACTTACTGACCTTCATGTGAAAATTCTTCAGATTTCCCAGTCCAACATGGGACCCTCCTAGCGTAGGAATGTCCTACTCAACATGCCTGATGAGCCCAGTGGGTACAGAAATCGCAGCAAGACATTTCTGTCATTGTCGTCATTGACAGTGGTGAGTCCACCATGTTCAGTGTCTGGCCAGGTGCTGAGGGGATGCTGAAAGTTACCTTCCTTACCTTTAAAGTGCTTATACGTATCAGGACCAGAGGAGCGATGGCTCAGAAGGTGTAGTGTGGCAACTCTTCACCATACAAATGGCTTTCCTATCACATAATCAAGTATGAAAGAAAGCGTATCAACCAACAGCAGATTTATTCATAGATCACACATGTTCTCAGCTTTGTGATCTCAAGAATTTTTCTAGACAATTATGAATACTCCATCTTTATTATGAGCAGGGGATAAATTACTTGCAATCCAGATACTGCTCCAGAGAGACATACCAGGCATTTCCAATTTACATACAAGTTGCTTTTCAGGGGTTTGCTTTCACATCATTTATTGTGAACTTGGGTTGCAGTTTCCCAGAGAAGACGTGATACGTAGTAATAATCGACATTTTAACAAATGTTTTTTTGTTGACTGAGCACTCTACAGAAAATGACGTAGCACCAGGCTTCTGAGCCAGCCAGCCCTTCACATCCAGGTTCTGCCCTTGACCTCACTAACTGACAGTGAATTTTTGCAATGGGGATAACAATCCCTACCTCCTAGGGTTGGTTTGTGTCGCCAGTGCAAGGCACATGGTAAGTGCCCTACAGCTCCATGATGAGGAGAATGGGGAGGAGCGGTGCTAACACCAGCCGTCTTACGGTCTCGTGACTCAGCCCACCTCCAGCTCTCATCTGCCTACCTGCCACTGCGTTCCCTTGCCAGCCGCTTGCAGTGGGAGTGGGTGAAAGGGAAAATCCCCTGCAACCAGTGAAGCGTTGTTCCTGTTTTTAAAAGGTGTGGTTTGTAAAGTAACCAGGATTGATAAGATTCTCTTCTGCTGCGGAAGGTGATATATTAAGCTCATACTCTGAACCAGGCACTGTGCTCATTTAATTCTCACAAAGACCCCACAGCTAGTAGCCAGCTGGGCTGGGTCCCAGGCCCCTTGATCTGTGACTCTAGCCTTTTTTGTCATGTACCTTTCTGCTGCTTGGGACAGTGTTTTTAGTCTGGGTAACTTTTTCTGAACTGCTTTCATCTAGTGGCAGGAGAGATGACTGAATTGGAAAATAAATTGGGTGGTACATCTCTCCTCCCTGTCAGATCTCTTTGCTCCATCCAACTATGGGGTAAAGGGTAGAATTATTCTTGTTGAAAGCTTTGTGCAAGCCACTGGGGTAAGGGAGTGACTGATTTTCTATAATGTAGGAGGGGAATCTATTAAGTTAGCATGTACATATTTCCTTCCTGAGCTGCCAGGACCTTCTCATCTTTGCACTTTCACTCTAAAAATAATCATGTTTGAAACCAAATATTCTTAAATATGTATTTAAAGCCTTCACTGATTATTCAGACCCTAAAGGCCCTGGATGTTACAGCTGCAAGAAGGCATAAAAGTGAATAAAGTCCTCAGAAGGAAAATATAGCCACAGATTTTTTTAAGTCACATTGAAGGTCAAGGTTCTTTTATGTCACATGCTTGAGTAGTGAAAAGAGTGGGGGCAGACACAGGTTCTAACCTGGCTCTGCAGGAACTGGCTCTGTGGCCTTGAGTGTTACCTGAAACCAGTGTTCCCATGTGTAAGTGGACTGCGACAGTCTAGACGATCTCATGTCCTTCAGTATCAAAACTTCTAGAATTGAAGGGTGGGCAAGAGTGGGGAACTGCTCACAGTTTTTGAATTAGGGGTATGGTAGGTAGAGGGGAAAAGAGAAGCTAGGAGAAATTTGATGGATTCTTGTGCAAGACCAAAGATTTAAACAAATGACACGCATGAGTACATTGCAACCAGGGTCGTCCAGAACCCTTAACTTTTCATCCACTACATGGTATTTCCAAAAAATTCAGTTCAGCTTCATTTTTCAGAGAAAAGGCAGCAGAAAAAAATGGAGCAACTACAGAAGTCATGAATTTCTTATGACAAATAACTTCTAAGTAATTTCCAAAAGCTACAGGAAATCTTGCCTTTCTCCTTTCATTCTCGCGGGCTTTTTATCTTTGTGAAAATCAACTTTTCTAAAAGTAGCTTAATGAGGAAGAAGAAAACGGTAAAATTGTGCATTTCATCACAGTCCAGATATGAAATCCATTTAACTCAAGTGTTTATCATTTGCACAGAAATGTAGCCAGACACTTTAAAATTCAAAATAAGCATTTTTGCTCTCCTTTTCCCCACCCGTATTCTTCACACCTCTCCGAACCACTGAGAAACTGAGAAGTTGCAACTCTAGCAGAGTTCCTCACTGCAATATATACTAACAGTCATGTCACTAGAATGCCCATTCACTTCTGTGCAATGCTACATTAATCACTTCTTCCTAAACGTAGCACTTCCACAGCTTTAAGCCCACTTGGGTTAGCAACATGGTGGTTCTTTTTAATGCCAGAATGAGTAGGCTGACCCCACAGAGAAGTTTACAACCAATATAGTCATGGTCGGGCCTTCTGTCCTGGTTTCTTTGAAGACTGGCTCTCAGGAGTCACTCCCTAATCCTGGGGCCAGGGAATCCTCACATCAGGTACAGAGCATGGTATGATGTCTGTAGCTACTTCAGCAGAGCCACCACACACAGCAGTTTGCTGATGCCAGGCCAAGCCTGAAATTCTTAAAACACAGCTGTGGCTTTGGCCATTGCGAGCCCAGGTGGGCACGGAGTAGGGGAACAGCACCTTTGAGGAGAGCCACACAGATGGCTTCCAATCCAGATGCAGAGGTCAGCTGAAGAGTGTAATGATAAACATCCTTGGACTAGGATGCACGTTCCCCTCGCTAGGAAATGAGAGAGAGACAGCAAAGGCAGGAGGTGAAGCATTTGGGGACTCAGGAGAGTGCTGGATAATGGATTTTAGAGCTGGTGGGTGGCATTTATGAGTTCTATTCCTGGGCCAGTTCTAAGCGCATGAACACAAAAGCACATGTGCTGGACCGTCTACCCAAACCACACAGACATCTGGAGCTTCAGGGCAGTGGTGAATCCCCGCAGTGACATGGCTGCTTTCAAAACACTCAAGTTCACTAGGACCCAACAGAGTTCTTTGTGGTTGGAGTCTTTGATGCTCTGAACATGTTAAGAACATAGAAGCTTTTACTAATTGTACTTTTATGTAATAAAATGCAGTACATTAAAAAAAACAGAACATAGAAGCATCTTCTTGTTGACCTTTCTGTTCCCAAGCAAGCATGTCTTTGTCCTCTCATGGACTTAAGTGTAATCTCTTTACTGGATAATTCTAGAAGGGAACAGAAAACATTGGACCAAGTTTAGAACTTGCTGATGTTCCCACATCTAATGATACTTGATGAAAGACCTAGATACTTTTCCACTTTTTTATTGGCAGCTTCCGTTATTTTTATTGCTGTTTTTTGAAGGCTTGATTTTTGCCTATAGATAGGAAAGTCTGGGGTTTTGATTTCTAGTTTTAAAAGATTTAAAGTTAGGCACAGAGCTTGGTCTACTCATAGGTACTTGTTTGATCTGCTGCTTACAGTGCCACCTTCTGTTCAAGTTTCTTTTGACAGCTATTGGTCCCTGTCTTCACCCCATATGAATAAGGAAAACATCCTGGATGTACAGGAAAGTTTTTGAGTGAAAAAGTAAGATGTTAGATCATTGCTAGCTGCTTGCTCTTATTTTAGAAATAAAAATTTTAACTGTCTCTTCTCAATAGTAAATATTTGGGGACTTAAATATACATTATAAAATTAATATTTTGCTATTGTTTATTGAACACCATGTTATAGATGTCACTTATTCACATGTGTTTGAAATAACACACTATCAGCGTGTATTAAGGTTTGGTAAGAAATTGGCAATTTAGTTTACTAAAATTTTGCATACAAACTTTCGGGACAAGTGGAGAGATTAATTTTTTAAAAATCCACCTGTGGTATTTATTGAATGCAGAGCTGACAGCACTGAGTAGGCAAATCGGACTAACCTAAATCTGCCAAATAGAACTTCAAACAAGTGTTTTTGTTTTTGCTTTTAACTTTCTCATTCTGATAGAATTCTTTTACCAAAAATTGGCCACGAATGAGAGGACTGAGAACGATGTCGAGATGTTTTTCTCTTAATATTTCCGATTCTGTTAGAATGTGGCTCCTGGAAGTCAGACACATCTCCATCAGGCTGTGTAAACGGGTTAGGATCCCCTTATGTGAGGCTGACGTGGGTCGTGAGCCGGGCGGGCCTAGTTCGCTGACTTAGCGCTGGGTCCAGCCTGAACTGCCGGAGCGCCCTCGCCCTGCTGGCTGCGAGCGTGCGCCCGCCCGAGGTGTTCTCCACGGAGGGCACGAGTGCAAGGCGAGGTCTGGCTCACACGCGTTCTGGCCGCCCCTCTCTGAAGGTGTCGCTTCTGTCTCCGCAGAGACCCGCTGAAGATCCAGCAACTGCAGAACCAGATCCGCCTGGAGCAGGAGGCCGGCGTCCGGCAGCCCCCGCCAGCCCGCAGCGCGCCACCCTCGCCGCCCTTCCCGCCGCCACCCGCCTTCCCCGAGCTCGCGGCCTGCGCGCCGCCCGCGTCCCCGGAGCCCATGAGCGCGCTGGCCTCCCGCGCCACCCCCGCCATGCAGTCCTCCGGCTCCTTCAACTACGCGCGCCCCAAGCAGTTCATCGCAGCGCAGAACCTCGGGCCCGCCTCGGGACATGGCACGCCTGCCTCCAGCCCTGGCTCGTCCAGCCTCCCGTCGCCCCTGTCCCCGACGCCCCGGCCGCTCGCTCGCGCGCCCGCGCCACCCTTCGCGCCCCTATTTGGCGCGGAGCCCGACACCCCCTGGGGCTCGTCCTCGCCGTCGCCTCCGCCGCCGCCGCCCCCGGTCTTCAGCCCCACAGCGGCCTTCCAGGTGCCCGACGTATTCCCGCTGCCGCCGCCGCCGCCGCCGCTCCCAAGCCCCGGCCCCGCGCCCCACGGCTCCTCGTCTGCCGCCCGCTTCGGCCACAGCCAGACGCCCGCAGCCTTCCTCAGCGCCCTGCTGCCCTCGCAGCCGCCGCCGGCCGCCGTCAACGCCCTGGGGCTGCCCAAGGGCGTCACCCCCGTGTGAGTGACAGCAGCGGGGCCCCTCTCTCTACCTCTGACCCCCGCATCGCTCCCTCCGACCCCCTCCCGGCGGCTCCCATACCCCTACACGCGCGCTCCATCCGCCCGCAGCCCAGGAGCGCCTCCCTGGTAACACTGCACACATTTCCCTCCGTGCTATGTAAAAACTTTTTTTTTAAAGATGGGGTTTCACCATGATGGCCAGGCTTGTCTTGAACTCCTGACCTCAGGTGATCCACCCACCTCGGCCTCACAAAGTGCTAGGATTACAGGCGTGAGCCACCGCGCCTGGCTATGAAAAGACTCTTAACATGGCAGTTGGACCCAGTGATTCTTGCCTAGCCACTTAACCATTATCAAAATCAGCACTTTTTCGTTTGAATTGATAGGAGATTCTCATCAGGAACTATTCAAAATCTATGTAGTGCTCTCTCTCAGCGATTATGACAATGAGGGCCTTAGCTAGCATTTATTGTGCTAAGCAACTCACATATATTATTTCATTGGATACAACGTTCCTAAGAGGTAGCCTTGGCCCAGTTAAACTACTGAGGATTCCAGGAGTAAATAAACTACCCAGGATCACATAGCCACTAAACAGAGACTTGAATCCGTGCTCTCACCACCAAACTCTTGTGTTTTATTATGATGTTTCATGCCAGCATTGCAAGGGATATGAAGGAGTTTGGTTATTAAGTATACACTTAGTGTTTTTGAAAAACCTCATGAACAGATTCCAGAACTAAGCCTTTGTGTAAATCTAGGGAGTGGAAGGAGGCAAAAGCATGTAAATGTCTTTGTGTTTCCATGGAGGTGAATGAGGGTGTGCGCAGCCTGCTGGAAAAGGATGGTGCCAGTTCTGTTCCTGGCCTGTGATCTCGAGATCCATTCCATGCCTTTAGTCCTGTTTCTGTTTGGAGGTGATCCGATGTCTCTCCTTATGTCTCAGTGATGATGCAGCAGCCCTATGAGGTCTTTAAAATGGAAAGTTTTGGAGGATAAACAGCATCTACAAAAGTACAGTAAAATCCTCAAATGAAATACAGTGCAGGTGTTTGGCATGTTTGGTTGAAAAGTAGAATGAGTAAAAGCTAGAACTTAACTCATTTTACGGAAGATTTCAAAACTGACTACGTGCTCGCAAAGGTTAGGCCAGCACCCGCATCTCAACTCTTCCTGCTGAAATCCTAGTTCAGAGTTTGCCAGAAGCATACTATTGTTCAGAGAGAAAAAGAAGGAAACTACTACAAAGGAGATCTTAGAATTCAAGTTATTTTTATTCATCTGTAAAAGTGTTCATTCTACGATATACTAATGCCACTTAGAGACAAGCACTGCTATGTCAGGCCTTGACGAGATGTACAGGCAGCTTCAGTTAGCAATGCTGCTTTTGTTGGGCACTTCCTAAATGGTGATTACACGAATTTGCAATCTGGCTTCTTCTCAAATCTTTACTGGACGAAACCGGTCAGTGAATATGTAAAGAAACAAGTCCAGTAAAGGAGCCAAATACAGTCTAGTAATGATGTGATAATGGACTTCTGTTAAAAGTTGTCAGTCAGCTTGTCTGAGGAGAACCTGTGTCTTTCTCACCTGCTTTTTCTCTTTGAGCTTTTATTTAGCTGTTGGAAGTATATTATCTTGGTACAAAGAAGCTATTAGACATACCCAAAGAGCCAGTTTGGGTGTTTGTTTCATAATGTCTTTTCATCCTCTCATTAAAGGGGTACCAAATCTTGCTCCCCAGGAAGAGGAGTACTGTGTACACAGTCTGTTGTAGTACTTCTCACATAGAATTTATCAAAGATTACTTTTCCAAAGGCGGTGGTGATTGTGCCGTTTACCATCTTTAGTAGAAACAGCAGTTTGTGCTAATCAGTGACTCTGAAACCCTCTTAAGTAGTTTTAGGGGCTTACCTCAAGTGACAGGAGCAGCTTCTTGTCACCATCTACCACAGCGACTCATTTTATGGAGTCAAAATAGTTGTTACCACAAGAGTCCAGTCGTTCCTGCCGTTTCTTAAAAATTATTGGAGAAGTCATGCTGATTTTGTAGCCATGGAAAACTGTACCCAAAGATAGTCAAGTGCTGTGACATCGAAGTGGCAATACCAGACTACAGATTTTTAGCTCCATGCCAGCCCAGTAAGCCATTATTATGCGGCTACCCTTTTGTCTTCAAGGAATTTTCCTACTGCTAAATCACACACACTTGGTTTGATAAATGTGTCTTTTGAAACATGTTTTTCCTCTGGCATGGTATGGGATCCGTCATTTGCATTCTGAATTAAAAACAAAAATGTGACTATTTATCCATCATCATCATCCAAATCATTTGCCAAAGACCAAGTGTCCCTATCAGGGCTGCCACCACTGGCATCCTGGAACTTGCAGGAACTGCCAAGTTACTGTAAGGTGTATATATTGAGTTTCACGTAGAAGTGTTATTTATTTAGCTGGATGGTTTTGCCATATATATAAAGCACCAGCAAATAGATTGATTACACATGACTCAGTGAAGTAGAAATTCATTAGGTTTTTTTCACCTGCCTTGTTTTACCAAAATCTTAAATATCTTAGTTTCTTAGTTTTCTTTTCTTTTTCTTTTTTCTTTTTTTTTTTTTTTTTTCTTTCAAGACAAGATCTAGTTCTGTTGCCCAGGCGGGAATGCAGTGGTGCAATTGTAGCTCACTGCAACCTTCGCCTCCCGGGTTCAAACAGTTCATGCCTCTGCCACCTAAAGAGCTGTTATTATAGGTGTGAGCCACCATACCCAGCTAATTTTTGTACTTTTAGTAGAGATGAGGTTTCGCCATGTTGGCCAGGCTGGTCTCGAACTCCTGACCTTAGGTGATCCGCCCGCCTCTGCCTCCTAAAGTGCTGGGATTACAGGTGTGAACCACTGCACCCAGCCCCTCTTAGTTTTCTTAATCACCACAGTTGCATACTTGCTATTTTATTCTCTTTGTTTCCCATTGTTCTCATTTTAATCTGTAGACAGGAAGGTTAAGTAAGTACTAAGTTTCTAAACAGTCAGTGGAGATAAGGTCTGTTACTCATAAGTTTGGGTGGCAGAGATCAAAGCAGGGAACAAAGGTCATGGATGTCATTGATAAACCACAAAGCCGAGGCTAAAGACAGTGGGCCTCTCTCTCCAGCTCATAGCAACAGCATGTGGTTGTTGGTTGGCTGAGGTCTGGGGAACTTCTCAACATAGTTAGTTCCTCGGTTGCCTTTCTTCCTATATGCTACATCTTCCTCAAAATTACTGGGGTCACTGGCAGAGAAAATATTGCCCTGCTCAAAGCTGTTGACAGACATAATTCTAAGTCGACTAGGTTTTTTAGATGGAGGCAGTAAGGAGAGCATGCCTTAAAGAGAAATCTGTTTGCACTTTTATGAAATTAATGTATCCTCCCCTCACTGTTGCTGGTAAAGCTGGTGTTATAGCCTCCACTGCTGTAACCATGTTTCTCCACATAGTAAATCACCCTAAGAGCTGCTAGGAACCCAGAAGATCTGGCAGTGCTGACAGGCAGAATGTGGCAATTCTGTCTCTGCCAGTCTCTGAGCCACAGTGCTAAGGCTGAAGGGTGAATCAGATCACACCCATCCCTGGAAGCAGACTGGTACTGTTTCTTCTGCCACCCTCACATTCCTGGAATCCATGCTCATGAGGGAGTGCCACACAGCCACAGTGCCACAATGTTTATGCTCTTAACTGCCTCTTTTATATAAGGAGGGCTTTGGTTTCAAATGTTGCCCCATGTCTGTCACAATAAGAGCATGTGTCAACAGGAGGTTTTATTATATAGGCTGCAGCTCCTTATGGACATTATCTCATTGTCACTCTTTCTCCCTGATAGGAAGCAGGTAGGTGGGGACACTGTCATCACTGTTACTCAAGAAGGGACGGGATTTCCCAGGGTTCCAGAAGAAAAGCCTGGGCAAGAAGAGAATAGCATGACTTAGGTTCATCTCAAAGCTAATGTCTAACTTTAATTTCTTGATTAAAGAAAACTGTTTTAGAAGCAGCAAATCAGAATCCCCTGAGTCAAGGAAAAGTTTGTAACAAATTTAGTTGTACTTTAAGATTTATGACACAGGGCATTTTAAACATTTTTCAAGTCAAGGCCCTGATTAGATAGTAACCAGTGAAAAAGAATCCCACAGATACAAACTGCAGTGTGCTCTGCAGACATCTCATTATTCCTATTTTTCTCCTATTTTTCGAGAAACAGACAGAGGTAGGGGGACGGCTTTTCATTCTCTGGCCTGAAGGGGTTGGAGGTGTTATTTTTGGGTTCATTCCTGTCCACTATCTTACCAAGCTGTATCCAATCCTGGGCAAGTATTTACCAGCAGGTTAGTAGGCGAGGCCTCCAGAATCTACCATGACTGGGTTATTCTGTTGAATCGTCTCTACCCTGGGGCAGCTCAGCATCAGACCTGTAGGCTGTGTACCAGGCTGTACAGAATGAATGAATGGAAGTAACCCACATGGCTTTGTCATTTTCTTTTTTAAAGAACTCAAAATATAACGTGAGGAGAGTTTTAGTATAAAGTTATCTATTTTCCTTTAAATATGAGCATTTATACTTTAACAGCTTTTTCTTCACCATACAATTCAGTAAAAGAAAAATAGAATTGACATACAAAAACTCAGTTTATATATGTTGGGCTCTTTTATATATTAATGTATTACATTCTTGAATGTAAGTGATATCTAAATGCCAACATGTTAATGACTTTGCCCACTCTGAAATTTTGTGGAATTTAGTTACCATCAGATTTCACTGAATATGAGAAGAGTAGAATAAGAGGACTTGAAATGGCTGAAAAAATTCTCTGGTTGATTCTAGTACCTTCCCTCTTAAATCAGTATTGTGCTCTGGAAATTTGAGTTTCTGAACTCTACTGACAGAATTGACCTAAAACAGCATGTCAAGGGAAGGATGCTTTCGAGATTATTCAGTAGCCAAAAAAAAGAGACCTCCTGG